AATAGGGAGTCACCGTGGCTGGGGTTACCCCTACGGTTTCTTTTCGACCCTAACCCGATGGCAATGGGGGTGGGAAGCGGGTTTGTAGGAAGATACATCTAAGTCTTTCGCAGGTTAGGAAAGGAACCTCAGAGAATTCAGTGTGTTTTTAGGTACTGTGATTTCACAAGCCATCTAGAGAAATACACCATTGTCAAGTACGAAAGTGGACCTCACGGTGCCCACAACATGGCTAACCAATTCGATTTGGTTTTTCGCAGAGCCGGAGTACCTAGCAAAATTCGAAGGGAAATTCGCAAAGAATTACTGGGTAAGTTTACTGCAATAGAATCGCCTGTGAAGGAATACCGTTCTGCTAGGCTATGGCAAAACAGGACCTATGGCCCCTTAGTAGGCACAACTCAGTTATAAAGAACGGCGCCTCAAAGGGCCTCCATAAAGCAAAGATTATAGAAAAATTAACTCAGTTCAAGAAAAAAACAAACAAAAAAGAACCACAAAAAGAAAACAAAACGGAAAGAAAAATATTTGATGAACAAGTGCAAACAATGTTGAACAATAAGCAAATGTAAAAAATAAAAGAAGAAAAATGGAAAAACATGAAGTAATAAATGAAAATGAGTGAAATGACTTGTTGGGCTGACGATGAGACCACCCGTTTCCTTAAAGATTATTAGTGATTAGTTCTCCCATGAACTCAAGTTTTTTCACTACATTTTACTAATTTTGATTTATTTTTTTAGTTGATCGAAATAAACATGCAACATTTGGGACAGAGCAACGACGCAGGGCTGAACATATGTTGATGAGCAATTTAACGCTTCTTACTCGAGTCACACAGATCTTCTACTATGATTTTATAGTATTTGATTACCAATTACCAGTTTTAATTTAGAATTCGCTCAAATTCATGACGGTTTTGTTCCATTTTGGGATTTTTCGATGGGTTGTCATATTGCCTTTCAGCCCCCTTTCTTCCTGATGATTTCGAATTAGGCGGATATAGTGATACAGTAACCCATACCAGCAATTACGGGATTCTAACAAGCTATTTCATGATGTATCCTCACTTAATCCAACTTTTGCAAGGCCTACTGATTACCGTCTTCCCTATATATTACAGATTTACCTTGACACTGTGGTGGTTCCTTTTCCCTAGGGCATGTGGTTACTGTATCAGTGAATCCGATGAGTTCGAAATCTGTTTTTCTGTGATCTTTATGTACTCGTGCAATATGTATCCATGGTTTTGCGGTTTGTTGTGGTATACGTTATTGTTCATGACTTCGCCAATAAGGGTTTATAAATAAAATATTTACAAGTATTCGATGCCGACATTCCCCCAAAAAGGGATCAATCAACACCAGGATCCTTTCTTTATCTTCTTTACCTGTTCCCTGTTGTTGATAAATTTGCAAGAGCAACGTCGTTAAGTCTACAATCATCATCATCGCTTACAATGTACCTCATCGAACTCTTCTTAAAAGCCACGATGCCGAGCTCTACCGTCTAGAACCCTCATTAAGGAGCCTCAGGACCGAGCCAATCTTGGCTGGCTGCAGACGGTGGACCAAAAGTAGCTCGCTTCCATTCAAAGCAACGACAGTCAGGAGGGGGTGCAAGCGGGCATTGTAGGGTGATACTGAAGTTCAACCAGGCTAAAGCAAGAAATCAAACAGATATGATATCTGAAGTATGATTGAAATGCTACACTTGGTAAGACTCATTTTGCTAGTTTATTCGCCTTGTACAGCGAGCCAAAATGTGCTTTGTTCTCGTGCTCTTTACATTGTTCCGTGGAAGCTTATCCTTACAGCTGAGCTGCTACATCGGTCAGGAGAATACAGATAGAGGTACTATGCATATTTTCACTTAGGCATAGCTATGACGGTTTCCCACCTAGGCTCTCTCAAAAGTTTTGGGTTTAAAAAGACAGGGACCAATGTCCCAGGAAGGAACTTATGTCTCAGAACTCAGAATAATGACACTGAAAAGTTCTGCAACATTGCTGAAGTCCAGTTTCTTTCAGCAGATCAACTGCTATCTGTCGTAGTAGCGAGAGTCGGAACTAAGATTCAGAGTAGCAAGCGTTGTTGCTGTAATTTTCTATCTAGGACAGGCATACGAAGCGTTTGCGTGAACTACCGAACTCTTATCTTGTTTGGAAATACCACCGATCCTTCCTTCAGCAAATGATAGCGACTAGCTGCATTGATAAGTATATAGAAGTGATACGGAGTGATAAAAACCGATAAAACAAGATAGAGAGGGTTAGAAGTTTCGCTACGTTTATCGCGGTGAAATAGTAGCCGGATAAAGTCGGTTGGCACCACTGCCAGATATGCGGCCCAAGGAATTCAACCCCGGATCCGCCCAAACCAACGGGGCCTCTATACTAAAAGCGGTACCATATTCGTCTGAGAGAGCATAAACCACTACTCGTAACTACATTGGCTGGATCAGGAAGTTGATAGGGAACCCAATTACCCGTGTAGACACTGCTATCAAGCATGATGTTGTTGTCTTCTGCATTGGTATTGCGACAATTTCGTAATCCATGTTAACTCGCCGCTTGCGAAATATTATGAGGACTGTACGTGAAAGTACTTTAGAGTGCACCCGGATGATAGCTTTCAGACTTCAACGTCCGTCCGTCGCGTGTGTGCCGCAACGGCGGTTCTAGACAGGTGCCGACAGCGCTGAATACCGATCGATACCGCAAGACAGGATGACCAAATTAACCATCCCTCTGAATGAAATTAATCATCCCCTGTCTTGCGGTATCGATCGGTATTCAGCGGTGACCACCTGCCTAGAACCGCCGTCGTGACACGCACGCGACGGACGGACGGACGTTGAATTCTGAAAGCGACCAATCATTTACCAGAAATGTCCATGAGGAGCCTGTGCTTGGGGGTAGCAAAAATGGGTCAAGTCGAAAAGTTGAAATCGTCGAAGTTTTGAGAGCAGAGTCTGAAGCTGTCATGAAAGAAGCATCGGTATCATTTGGGTCATCCCAATGACAGTCAATAGCTCAATCCTGTCGTGCTAAAGAAAAGTCTAAGCATGTGTGTGGTGAGAGCACTTTTATACCCTATCTTGGTTATACAAGAAAGGAACAGTGACTGCCTGCAGGAAGGATGCCAGCGCTAGGAAAGAAGGAGATGCGCTTCCCATTCGACTCAGAATCTTAACAACAATTCAAAGAGAATGTAGTCTATGCAATAACTCTAGGTGACCAGCCACAGTAAAAGTCCGTGCTTCTACACTCCCAGACGAGTCTCCGAACGGACGGAAGGCTTAGTTATCTCAAGTGGATAGCAGTACATCGGATGTGGTGCAGAAGGACCATGATTGTCGCGTCGCGGCGAGAGACGCCGCGCGCGAAAGAATGTAGCAGTGTGTAGCAGCAAGCAAGAAATTCAGGACCAAAAGAACTAACTGTAGAATCATTTCATAAGTAATAACTGCACATTGATTTAGCTGTATGAAGAACGCTAGAACTGCTATAACGGGGCAAA